ATCCATCCATCCATCCATCCATCCATCCATCCATCCATCCATCCATCCATCCATCCATCCATCCATCCATCCATCCATCCATCCATCCATCCATCCATTTTCTAGAAAATCATGCATTGCAAGTTTAAGATGTCAAGATTAAAGTCATTGGAATGGAAAGTGTTAACTAAAGCATCTTAAAGTTGTTCTCAGTAATGGAGTAAGTGTCTTTTTCCAAATCTGCCTTAACACATACCATGATCCTTGGGTGGTTTCTTAGTTATTCTGGGTCAAATACTCACATTTGTATCCTGAACCTAGAAAAATCAATGTGAGATTTGCTTTCTGTTCTTATACGTGATATTAGTGTAGCTTGGGGAGTTGAGAAGCTTCAATAAATAAAGCCCAACTACCCACTTCAGGGTTGCTTTTCTATATCTGAGCCTGACCTTTGACTTATGTCAAAAAAGCAAGGAAAAACATCAACAACAAAAAGCCTTTGGGAATCAGTAAAGTATGACATGAAAACCTTGACAGGAGATTTCCCACAGTATAGCTATGAGCTAATGTTACATGCCATCATCTGAGCCAGATGTTATCTCTTTTTTCCCCCTTCTCTGTTGGCAGCAGTCCTTTGGGATGCATGAAAACAGAAGGCAGAGATGTTAACCTACATCATATATGGAAATGGATTGAATGTGTCACTATGATTTGCTTTCGTGCCAGTGCAAGCAAGAATGATACTGTTTTTCATATATTCTTTGGATAAAAAAATAAACATTAGACAACAGAAATTGGAGCATGAATGTGTCTTATTCCTCTGTAGATTCACTTTGGATGCTGTTGTTGTGAATGAAGTTAGGTTATAAATAATAATTTGTTGACTGTATGGCTGGTATGCTATATGAGTTTACATTTCATTAGGTTATATTTAATCTGCCTCTCCGCAGATTTTCCATGATGTTGCTTACAAGGCCAAAGACAGGAATGACTTGGTGGCAGGCATTGACGAGTTTCTGGATCAGGTGACAGTGTTACCCCCAGGAGAGTGGGACCCCTCCATCAGAATAGAGCCCCCTAAAAATGTGCCCTCCCAGGTAAACAGTGAGTAAAAATGACAGTTTTTTGGGACTTTAATCCGAGCACCTATGCAGAGTTTTAAAGTCTGTGTGCACATAATGATTTTTTTTTCACAAATATCCGTGAGTCCCTTCTGTGACCTACTGCCTGACAAGAATTTTTAAACATCTGTGTTCTCCTCTAATCTCTACTGCGTTGTACTCTGTGCTTTGATGCGACTCCCCAGGGTTCTGTTCTCAATCCTCTCCAAAGCATTAGTTATTTCCCTCCATTAGTTATTCTGGTCTACTCTGAAAAGAGAGAGGCAATCTTGAAGGGAAATTTTGAAACATTTTGAAAAAATACAGATGTTGTTTCAGGTATTGTTTTCCATTTCTCTTTTATCATTAGGCTCCTGCAGTGGATTAATGACAGACCACTGAGCAATTAGATTGTTATACTGATGAGCTCAGAATATGATCCATAAGAATTTAATTATTTGACTTTTTAAAATTATATTGTACCAAATGCAGGCTATTTGGTGGAGATTTGATTCCAACTAAGAGTTATAGTGATGTGGGCAGCAGACAGCTGACTGACAGTGATCTTAAACACACAGGAAAAGCGGAAGATTCCCCCAGTTCCCAACGGAGTGACAGATCTTGGAGAGTCTGGGGAGCACGGAGGGCATGGTGGCCCAGAGCTCCAGCGCACTGGGAAGTAAGTGTCAGAGAGAAAGATCATGATTTGCTGTGTTTTGAGAGCCCTGATCTCTCAAAACTCCTTTTTGTGCCTGGAACCTTCCTGTTGCCTGTGAGCCTCCTTCCAGCCCTCAATACTTGCCTATTATTCCTCATACATCAATTCCACACTGAGACCTTTTGTTTAGGTTCTAATTCATTATCAGCTCATACAAATAGTGTGCTGTGACTTTGACCACCACCACCAAAAGAAAAATCTTCATCTGCTGTTTAAGAAGATTGGAAGCTTCCTGCACTTTTCTGCACTCCGTCCTGGATGTGTCCATCTTTCTGTAATTATTCCTGGATGTGTCCATCTTTCTGCAGTCCTTCCTAGATGTGTCCATCTTTCTGTAGTCCTTTCTGGATGTGACCATCTTACAATTTTGTCTTAGAGTGTGTTGGTGCACTTTTGGAAACCCTTATGTTTAGTAGAAATCCAACAACAAAAGGCCATTTGGGTTCAGGTTGGGCAGGCCAATCCTCCCAGTCACATCCTTGTAGGTCATATCAGATGGGACACCTTCCATCTGTACAGTCGTTTGACGTATAAGCACTGATGCAAGAATTCAGGGAAGCATACCTCTCATCCCCTGGGGATAAGACTAACATATAGACACTGAATCCTGGAGAGGCCGACTGTACGTAGCCAATACCTTGGACTCCTTCCTCACCAGAGGGATGATGTTTCATCTAACTAAAGCCAGTTTCAGCAATCAAGCCGCCAAGGGCCCCATGCTTTATTTATTTACCTTATTTTATTAATAGTTTTTTAATGCTCTCTGAAGTCTCAGCATTGAACACCTAATAATATAAGCATGAGATCTCAAAATATAAATTTCGTTTTTACTTTCATATGCCTTCAAAACTGTTTTTGAGATTAGATGAGATTTAAATAAGGGATTAAAAATGAAGAATATCATCTTGTTATCGCCCCAGAAAAAATGCCTGATGGTAACAAATGATTCAATTTATTGCCATCAGGATTTTTTTTAACCCAAGCTTGAAAGAATAAAGTGAGAGTGCAGCACCCAGGAAGGGTTTAGCGGCAGAAGAGTGAGTGATGTACGTCTGCTTAGCTGCGGTATACTGCGGTACAGACTCTTATGCCAACTAAGATTGGCTGGAAACCCAGGCTCAGCTATCTGGCTGCTTAGCCTGAAATAAGAACAACAGCCCACCAACTTGCGCGCTTGCCACACCAACCACCTCCAGATTGTTCCCCACCATCCCAGTCCACAGCAGCAGTAGAGCCTGCTCATTGTGATTGAAAGTATACAAAGATAGAGCCATGAGTCAACACAATCACTCATATGGATGCACGGAGGTACAGTAATTTTAGTGTTGGTGCCCTGAAAATAACTTGTTTAAAGGCATGTTGATGTTCTTATGAATCTTACAATATCTTACAATAAGATGTAAGATAAGTTGCTCTTTGTTACCTTTATGCGTATGTGCAGCTCTTTCATAAAATCCCTTTTTCTCCACAGGTTTTGTGGTGGGTTGATCTTGGATGTCAAAAGAAAGGCTCCTCACTACCTTTCTGACTACACAGACGCTGTCAGTCTGCAGTGTCTAGCCTCATTTCTCTTCCTCTACTGCGCCTGCATGTCCCCTGTGATCACCTTTGGAGGACTCTTGGGTGAGGCTACAGAGGGGCGTGTGGTAAGATCATTGTTATTTTTTCCTCAAGCCTTTATAAACACGCCCCAAAAGCATCTCTTTAGATTCAAGAAGAATATACACAATCATCTGCACACCGCATCAAACTCAAAGCCTTTGAAACCAGTAGATGAATGAAGGAAATTGAAGGATTTGATCTCATCAAAAATTTTCTTTAAGCACCATCACCAGGTCAAAGCTCACATGTCCTCCTTTATTTAGTTTTATGACAAAAATGATATTACTTTGAGAGACAGTTGGATCCTCCAGATCACATTCATGCATCTCCAGCTATGTGCTGGTAGCCCATAGTCAGATTGGATAAATGACCAGTTTATTGGTGCTTCCGGCCAAAAGCGCACAGCTACAGATGTTCTTTATATGCAGTGAGATGTATTTTTAACACATATCCAAAGCACTTTCAAAACAGTTTCTAAAGATGACTTTACTGATGCTTCTGTGTAGCAAAGGTTTTTATTGGACACAGGCACTGACAAAGCTCTTTGGCTTTTTTTCCCCAGGCAAGCCTCACTTATGTTGTCTGACTTCCTGTTGGCTCCTTGCATGTGTGAACAGGATAAAGTTAGCGTTATAGCTTATATGATAGTAAATGCTGATTTAAACTAGAATACTCCAAATACAACATGTGTTTGACTAAATGAATCAGAGCATTATTGCGTGTGTTTCCAGAGTGCTATTGAATCCTTATTCGGGGCTTCCATGACTGGAATAGCCTACTCTCTTTTTGCTGGGCAGCCTCTCACCATCCTGGGCAGCACAGGGCCTGTTCTTGTCTTTGAGAAGATCCTCTTTAAGTTCTGCAAGTAGGCTATTCACTACACCTTTGTGCTTCTTTTATACACTAATGTTTCTGTTTATTTGATAGGTGTGTGTGTGTTTTATGCTTCAGTTGAAATGTCATATTGAATTATGTATCCTGCTTTTCTGCCACTGCTATGTTTTTCTGTGTTTTTTGTGTCCGTCAGGGAATACGGCCTCTCCTACCTCTCCCTGAGGACCTGTATTGGCCTGTGGACAGCCTTCTTCTGTCTGCTGCTGGTAGCCACGGATGCCAGCTCGCTTGTCTGTTACATCACACGCTTCACCGAGGAAGCTTTTGCTGCACTGATCTGCATTATCTTCATCTATGAGGCCCTGGAGAAGCTACTTCACCTGGGGGTGCATTACCCCATCAACAAGAACAACAACCTTCAGAAACTCACGTTGTACTCGTACGTACATTTTAGTTACAGCTCATGCATGGTGTGCTTAACTCAGCACATGTGCTCAAGTCTTTTGCTGTGTCAAGAAACGGCAGATGGTACAGCACTGTATCGGGCATGCTGTTCATTTTTTTCAGACATGGATTGTGCTTTATGATGAATAATCCCATGTTGAGTGTGTGTCAGGATGGATCATCGTGCTTTAAGCTGGCTAGTGGCTATGTCAAGCCAAAAGCTCCTTCTGTGAGTTTCTATTCTGGTGTAGTGGACAGCAGGGTAGGCTGACATTTAGTTTCGATAAATGCCAGCAGAATGAGTTAAGCTCAGAAAAATGTTACCAACAACTCCACACAGTGTTTTTACGACATATTATGAGTGAAACAAGCATTCAGTGAGGCTTAAGCATTTTAACCTTGAGAAACTCTAGTGTAACACTAACAATCACAAAAACATAACAAATCCAAGGAACCAATCTCACCAAGTTTTAGAATTAGAAGACAGTTTATTTAATGTGATGAATCATTTAAAAGATGAACCAGGATCCAGGTATGAAAAGTGAAGCCATTTCAATTTCATTTGAAATTGAAATGGCTTCACTTTTCAGTTTCAGTTTTATTTTATTTATACAGCCCTAAATCACAACAACGGTCACCTCAAGTAACTTCAGATTGTAAGGTAGATCCTACAATAATACATACAGAGAAAAACCCAACAATCATGAGCAAGCACTTTTTCTGTTAAAACTCCCTTTTAACAGGAAGAAACCTCCAGCAGAACCAGGCTCAGGGAGGGGCAGCCATCTGCTGTAATCGGTTGGGGTGAGAGAAGGAAGACATGATAAAGACATGCTGTGGAAGAGAGACAGAGATTAATGACAAGTATGATTTGGTGCAGAGACGTCTATTAACACATAGTGAGTGAGAAATGTGACTGAAGAAGAAATACTCAATGCATCATGGGAATCCCCCAGCAGCCTACACCTATTGCAGCATAACTAAGGGAGGATCAGCCCTAACTATATGCTTTAGCAAAAAGGAAAGTTTGAAGCCTAATCTTGAAAGTAGAGATAGTGTCTGTCTCCCGAATCCAAACTGGAAGCTGGTTCCACAGAAGAGGGGCCTGAAAACTGAAGGCTCTGCCTCCCATTCTACTTTTAAATACACTAGGAACAACAAGTAAGCCTGCAGTGTGAGAGTGAAGTGCTCTAATGGGGTGATATGGTACTACAAGGTCATTAAGATATGTAGAAGTCTGTACAAAGAAAACATCTAATTCTAAATTTATTTATGATACCTGTAAACACTTTTCCTGGTTTCTAGTTTCAGGTCTTTTAATAGAGAATGATATTCATTTTGTAACTTATGACCACATTTACTTAAAAAATTCAACGGGTTTGATGCGTTTTATATTAGGTCAAAGGATCAGTGGTGGAGGGCTGGGCAATAGGAGATAATTTGTGTATGCTTGGATGTGTACAGTTACATCTCAGCCATTTTAAGCTGTACATTGATATTAATGTCGTATTCTACATTTGCTTTGCTACGTCATATAAAAGCGACTAAAGATTAATTTCATTCAATCCTTTAGTTGACTTTAAGGTCTAGAAAGGCTCTTTTTTTCTTTAAGAAGAAATCATGGCCTTCTCTGCTAGGTGGCGCCAGAACATATTAAATACAAATACACAAAATACACAGTCACCGCTAATGAACTGCAGATAGAGTATATTTGTTGTGTTTACTCAAGAAAATTGAATCTATTTATCCTCCTCCTATAGATGTTCTTGTGTGGAACCTAGGGACCCCAGCAATGAGACTCTGCACTTCTGGGACGAGAGAAACATCACTGCTTCGCAGGTCAACTGGACCATGCTGGAGGTCACGGTAAGAATAAAAATTATAGCAAAACACTTGCATACATACATATATATATATATATATATGTCTAAAATAATGCCTGATGAAGAGGAGAAGAAAGGCCGGACCTAGAAAGAAACTGTTCATTCAGCAATGAAACATAACACCACACATGTTGTGTTGTACTCAGCCCTTACTTTGTTACATAAACATAATAAGACTAGGCAGGGATTAGGATCATGTGGGCAGTATTTTATGGTATCTAGCTGTGCAAAATGAGGGTGTAGATGGAGTGTAAGGGATGATGTCACTTATCAATCACGCTGGTGGCAGCGCGCTGCACCACTCCTACACATGTTAGATGTGGCAGTCAGGTGAGGCCTCTGCTGTATGCAAGTGATGAATCATGCACTACAGGGATAGTAAAGAAAATGAGCAGTGAATGTGTCTGACTTTTGGTAGTCAGAATTTTCTAATTCATTAATGACACTGACATCCATCATTGCCATTATCCCCACTGTAACTCTAATCATTTTTTATTGGCATCATTATCCCTGCTTTCCTCCTTCTCCTGCTCATACCCTGTTTCTCACCACCACCGCCATCATCATCATCATCATCACTGTGTCCTCTGGGGTCAGTAGGAGTGCGAGATGTTGCATGGGGAGTTTGAGGGGAGCGCCTGTGGTCCCCATGGCCCGTACATCCCTGACGTCCTGTTCTGGTGCGTGGTCCTGTTCTTCTCCACTGTCTTTATGTCTGCTTTTCTCAAGGAGTTCAAGACAAGCCGATACTTTCCAACCAAGGTACATATGTTTTATCCAATTTAAATGTCTGTATTTGGTAACTTATGCTGCCATCAGTTGGTTGTGTTAGGACACAGTATTTGTGGAGAACCTATGTTCAGTTTCTATGATTCATCAATGCGATGATGTGCATGTGTGGCCTGATGCTGCCACACTCATCTGTACTGTCCTGGCGCCACCTTGTGGTGATAAGTGCTGCACTGTAGTCTGGATTGACATAAGTGGCCCACAGGTGCGCATTCGCTGTCAAAATAAAAGACGCGCACCAGATAAGAAGTTGCAACGCTCGTTCACGTACATATAAAAGGCACTGTTTTTGTCTGCTAGAGTGGGATTTTTACATATGCATATTCTGCACCACATCTCTGTGCATTCATCATTTGTTTGAAGCCAGCTCACCTCCTGCACTTCTTTTGTGGTTCGGACTCCTTCTGACATTTCTTTGGAGGTGGAGGAACACCAAAGTAATTGCTTAAAGGAGCTTGCTTCTTCAACATCTTTAAGAGTCTGTCCTCCTCCAGAAAATCTTATGTACGCAAACGCGCGTTGCAACTTCATGTGGATTGAGGTCAAAAATTAGATGAAAGATCTGAACTCTGTAGTGATGGAGTTAATTAATTAATTTAATGTAAGAAAACAAGCCTTACTGACTGTCAAAACAGAACTTGAGCCATTATAATGAGACCCTTTAAAATATATAGACAAGAAGTAATATTTCTCATTCTAGATAAAGTGATAGAGACCACATGTTCCAAAAACAGCATAAACAGCATCTAGTTAGCACAGTATGTTGTACTGTATGCAGATCTTAGTTTTTGTAACATACTTCTGTCTAAAGATTGTGTGTCTTGTTTCCTTTAGGTGCGGGCCATCATCAGTGACTTTGCAGTCTTCATTACCATCCTCACTATGGTGTTAGTAGATTATGCCCTGGGTATCCCCTCACCTAAGTTACAGGTTCCCAACAAGTTCAAAGTAAGTCCACATGAATCTCACACAAGCTGCTGTTTACATCAAAATTGGACATTGTATTGGACATTTTTTCTGTGTTTCATAACATTTAAGCATGCAATTTTTGCGCAAATCTTGCAGAGATACAGAGAGCACTGATCCCCCATTAGCTTCAGTGTGGCTGAGGAGTAAAGACACAGGAAAACATGTATAAAACAGTATAAGAATGTTTAGATTTAGATTCAACAGCTATGTTAGCGGGCTGAATGGAAAAGTACAGCTGTGCATCATTAGCATAGCAAAGGTACAAGATGTCCTTGAAACTGTTCAGTAGATGACCCAGGGGTAACATTAGATAAAAAGTGAAATCAGAATTGGTACGAGGATTGTCTCCTGAGGGACCTCAAATATGAGGGGCAGATATGAGGACATACACCTGTTCCTATTCCTCCTTGCAAAAAGGAGCACCTCCAATTCTACAGCCCTGTCCAGCTCTCCTAGACTAACTCCAGTCTCCTGGAATCTCATCCATTCTCTTGAGACTGTGCTGGGAGATACAATAAACCTTCCGACAATTGGTATTGGTGTGCCATCCGAGGGATTGGACTACCTGTGAAACCTGTGTAGGATCCGGTATGTTACCAATAATGACACCGATCCTGGCCAAATAGGAAACTAGTGTAAAAACATGCAGAAAATATCTAATTTATATTAGCAGTGAACATCAAAGCTTCCTAATTAAATGTAATAATAGTCTAATAATAATGACTTAGAAAAGAAATTTAGAAATAAAGAGGAAATATGTATTTTGATTTATTAAAACGTTTCAAATTCTTCATGATTATTATTATTTTTAAATGTTCTTTTTGCCATTACCCTTAGCCAACCAGGGATGATCGTGGCTGGATTATCAACCCTGTGGGGCCCAACCCCTGGTGGACCACAATTATCACCTCCATCCCTGCTCTGCTCTGCACCATTCTCATCTTTATGGACCAGCAGATCACAGCCGTCATCATCAACAGGAAGGAACACAAACTAAAGGTATTTCATTGGATATGTTCACATTGGTGTGTGAAAGTGATTTTAAATGTGGTCAATACAATTAATTCCTACAAGCCCCAGTGTGCTGTTTTTTAGTTTTCAAATCTTTGCTTTTCCTGAAGTGGGTAAGTAAGCTAAATCTAAATATCTAAATCACACTTTCCTTGATCCAACCCTACAGAAAGGCTGTGGCTATCACCTGGACCTGTTTGTGGTGGGGGTGATGCTTGGTGTGTGCTCAGTAATGGGCTTGCCATGGTTCGTGGCTGCCACTGTGCTCTCCATCTCCCACGTGAATAGCCTGAAGCTGGAGTCAGAGTGCTCGGCCCCTGGAGAGCAGCCCAAGTTCTTGGGAATCCGAGAGCAGCGCTTCACTGGCCTCATGATCTTTACTCTGATGGGTTGTTCCGTCTTCATGACCTCCGTGCTGAAGGTAGGGGATAAACACCTATACTTATACCTATACTTATCAGAGATTTCTGGATCTCAAAAAGACTTTTTATTTCTTCAGTTCTTAATACTCTTAACAATATATAAAAAAAATAACAGATAATTTATCAAAGGACCTATTTTAAATAATATTTTTAGGCACTTTGCTACTAGCAACCTGTTACAAGAACGCATAATGTTGTATAATTTTGTTGAGCCTATGAAACATTTCACCATTTGACTATTTGTTTGCATTAACAAAGGGACTCCCAAAAATATTTTAGAAGAAAACTAGTTGCATCTCTAGTGTGTCCATAAAAAATATTTGAGGAAATTAGACAAGTGGACAGTGACCAGCCTAAAACAAACTACTTACTTCAAGTAAATAGCGTCTGAAACTCGTGTCCTTAACAATCCCTTTCTGTTCACTTTAGTCATCTCTCCGTGTATTGTCCTTTTTTATCTCCTTTAAGTTTGTCATCTCTCCATGTTTATTTTTTGTGTTGTCTCTACTTTTTCTAATCACCTGCTTGTGTATATGTTGTCTCAGTCTTCCTTTGTGTATTGTCAGAGCATCAGTCAACTTCCCTTTGGGTCGCCTAGCTTTCTCTTAGCAAGAGTTTTTGGTTTCCTTTTGTATTTTATGTCTTACCTTTATTTTGTGCTTTGACCACCAGGCTAAATAAATTGCTTGCTTTTGTTTTTGTTTACTCCAGCTTGCCTCTGTGGGTCTGTGTTTGAGTCATCACATTCCTCAATATACTGTATGATCTGTGTACTACGCAGACCATGACAGAATCAGTGGTTACTTTCATATCTGATTATTAATCAGTGGTTACTTTCATATCTGATTATACAGACTGAGTGGACAGCCAACCTTGGCAAGGGGGCATTTAGCTCAACTCAGTGTTTGCTTTATTATCAAAAAAAGGGCATTTATCCAATCACTTATGTGAACAGTTGTGTTTAGAGTGACACAAGTTATGTCTACAAAACAATGGTTAAGTTAGAATGAAATCACATCATACTTGGTAAGGAATTACAACCATATGATTGCATGGTTACATTTCTCTAGCATGCTCTTATAGAAATGTAGCCACAGTTGCAAAGTACAAAAAAATATCAGACTGGAGCAGCCAGGGATCAAACCACCAACCTTCTGATTAGTTGATGAGCTGCTCTACCTTCTAAACTACAGATAATAATGTCTAGCAAACAAAACAGGAGAAATGTTTTCTGTAACCGCTGACATGGATGAATAAGTTCACCATCTAACAGGAAAGACTTTAACAGTTCTAAGTTTTTACTCATACTGGAAATGCTTTTCTGTTTCTACGCAGTTTATTCCCATGCCTGTGTTATATGGCGTCTTTCTTTACATGGGGGCTTCCTCACTCAGAGGTATTCAGGTGAGGTGACCATGGTATTTTCTGTTGGAAGAAATAATCCAGAAAAGCTTTGAAGGAAAATTCTAATTTTTTCTTTGTATCTCTGCAGTTCTTTGACCGTCTGAAGCTGTTTGGCATGCCTGCCAAACATCAGCCAGACTTCATCTACCTTCGTCACGTCCCTTTGAGGAAGGTCCACCTTTTTACTATCATCCAGCTAAGCTGCTTGGTCCTCCTCTGGGTCATCAAGACCTCTAAAGCTGCCATTGTTTTCCCCATGATGGTAACCCAAGTGTGCTTGTATATGCACGAGTGTTTGTGCACCTAATGAATATGATGGCTTGACGTCAGTCTGTTTCTCTTGTTCCAGGTCTTGGCCCTAGTGTTTATTCGTAAATTGCTGGACTTCATTTTCACCAAGAGAGAGCTGAGCTGGCTGGATGACCTGATGCCAGAGTGGAAGAAGAAGAAACTAGAAGATGCTGCACAAGAGGTGCAGTATGAGAGCACTATTTAGAGGACTTGGATGATCTTCAAATTTCTGCCACTGCAATAGATTTTTCTCTTCCCACAGGAGGAACACAGCATTATTGCAGAGGAGGAAGGCATTGTACAAGTGCCACTTGAGGGACACTACAAGTAAGTCTTTCGGATATTTAATTCTATTCTGTGTTTTGTGTTTTACCTAAGCTGTTTTGTCTGTCAACCAAAACTCACACATGCGGATATTTGTGAGTTCATTCTTAGCTCTAGCTCAGACGTATGTGTGGTTTAAGTGCTTGTGCTACTTTAGTGAAAACCAATGAAATAATGTCCTTTTCTCTGCTTGTTTGAAGGAGTGACCCAGCCACAGTAAACATCACTGATGAGATGTCCAAAGGGTCCTTTGGGAATGTGTGGAAGAGTGTGAACCCTGCTGAGAGTGCTAAAAAGGAACAAAGTGCTAAAAGGTTAGCCACATATTTGCATTATTAAGACTTCCAGATCTCCCATACAACAGAGAGATAATACTGGATGTTGATCCAGATCATAAGTAGGCTTCTGATCTTAAGGTTGTGAAAGCAGCAAGCACAGGTGTTTATTATTCAGGAATACTGACTTTTTCCAAGAAGCTGACAAGCTAGTATGTTTGTTTAGGAGCAGTCCTGCCCTTGTAGATTTCCCACTGAGCAGACTAACATAGAATTTCCTGCCTGCCTTTCTCATTTCATCCCACCCCTAAGCTCCCCTTCCTAACCTCTCAGAAGCTGATATCCCAAAGGTAAGCAGTTCAGAGGTGACCCCTTCAGCATGGAGAGTCTCATCCTAAGTGTTATTGCATGATGAACATGTGCTGCTAATTATGATTTGGGTGATGGAAGATGTTTGTGGATGTTATTCATTCATGTTTTCTTGATGTCAAATGTGACCTTGGCATGCTAATTACAAATAGTTAATAGCACTGGGTCTAATTTACTAGTCACTATAATCTGTGTTTTAAGGAAAGACTGCTGAACCTTTTTGAGATAAATTTGCATGCATGCATGCCACCGAAATTCTCTTTTTGTATCATTTTTGTTGGGTTTACATTTTCTTTTTTCCCCATGCAGTTCCAAAAGCAACGAAAAGCGTCACAAACGGCGAAGGCATGACAAGAGCTTGGACAGGGAGACAAGTTTGTGATGACACATACTGGCAAAGCCACTGTGCTGTCAACCAGTAAATCAACAAGTATACCGTGCCACACTCAGCCACCTTTGTACTGTGCTACACTGTGTTTTTTCGTCACGTAAGTCTATGTGCAAGTCGGGTGAAACAAAGAAAATTTATTAGAAACTGTATTAATGAGAGGAAACTGAGACACATCTGTGTTTTTCTTTTTCTGTGTATATCAGTGTTTAGTGATACCAGCAACCGAAGGATGCCAGAATTATGACACCTGCAGTAACTGCTGTGTCTATGGGCCAATTCCGGAAAAATTTTAAAGAATTTTTAAAATTTATTTTATTTGTATTTTGTATGTTTTTATATTTTTCCAACAACTACAAGTTATCCTTTTAACAAGGTTACAGCGAACCACTAAAGAATTGATTCTATGTGGAACATTGTTTACTCCACGACATTCTCCGTGGAGCATTTAATGCCGCTGTTGTATTTAGCGCCTCATAATAGACTGAAAAAAAGTAGATATTTGCCAATATAAATCTGTAGTACTGATATCTAAAAGAGTTGGCTATATAGCAAATCTAGTAATTTTTTGGACACATTAAATATACATTTTATATATTAAATATATCTAAATGTTTTTGTGACAGTGACCACTCATCATTTCCCAGTCTTTTCCATTCCTATCAGGTATAAATGTCTCCTTCTCCTCTAGTATGAAGCATTTCCCAAGAAACTGCCCAGAAATTTGACTTTGAAATTTGTTTCTGAGAGTCACATGAAGTGACTGACCTAAAGAGATTGCTAAATATGAAGCTAAATCCAGCAGCTAGTTAACTTAGCTTAGCATAGACAGCGTAAATGGTGAAATAGCTTCCATTGCTTTGTTTAAAAGTAACCAAGAAAACAATTGCAAACAGGCACTTTATATTTTACTTCTTAATTCCCTTATTGCAGCGTCCCTCCGACAGAAGACAGAGATGATCGGTATTCCGTTTACCGGCTGTTTATTAAGAACAGTAACACAGGCTACTGTGGGCCGTACCCAACGCCAAAAAAGCAGGGAAAACGCTCTCTCTAGAATCAAAACAAAAAACCCTGGGCTCTCCTGCCGAACTTGCGCTCCTTTCTTCCGCATACACACAACACACACTCTCTAACTCCCACCCCCCAAACACTCTCAGCCAGTTCTCTTACAGACTCTGTCATAGGTAGCTGATATAATTGACAGGCTTAACAGCCTCTAGACCAGGGGTGTCAAACTCAAATACACAGTGGGCCAAAATTCAAAACTGGAACAAAGTCGCGGGCTAACATTAATATTTATTGAAAAAAAAAAAACTTCCTCCAGATATAAGAATGAATCTTTTCTTATGGACTCAAACACATTTTGCTGGAAAACTGAATATGGAATAAGCAAAGCTTTATACTAAACAATATATATATTAGCTGTATAATACCAGTAGGCCAGCTCTAATAGTAATTTGGTATGGCTTCGCGGGCCAAATGTAATTAGGCTGTGGGCCAAATTTGGCCCGTGGGCCAGAGTTTGACACCTATGCTCTAGACTATTAAACCTTCAAGGACAATCAGTAATCACATGGCTGCAGGTGTGTAACAACTATGCCATAACTGAGTGGCAATAACACCGATTACACATCAAACTAACTTGTAATCCAGTCCTTTACAAAATGAAGTGTAAAAATAACATTTTTGATTGGTGTCACTATTACTTGCTAGTGATTGCGCCATATTAATCACTCACTGGAATAGACATATCTATCATTTAATCTGACTCTCAGAAACAAAGCAATTAAATTAAACAAATAAAGTATTTTCTGATTTATTTTGGTGAGATTATTATTTTTGGGGGTAGGGTGGGAGGGGAACCTTTTGGGAAATTAGATTTAGCATGGTAACATAGATTGGGAAATTTTGGTATGTATCGACTTTTTTTCCTCAAATTGGACAATGATGAACTCTTGAGCAACTGTACAGTAAAGCACCATGTTTTCCACTTGCATTCTCTTCGTCATCTTGTCAGTAAGTGTCATCCATGGACATGTAATCTCCTCTCCAAATGACCCTCAGTGTGTTAATATCTGAAGCTAATTATTTCTTTAAAAAACAAACAAACACCTGCATGCTGGTGAAACACTGACTGTCTTGCTGCAGGACTATGGTTCTAGAAATGCAATAATACCTTTTTTTTCTGGGAAGGGCAACATGTAATAACAGTAAAGAGTCTTAACAATGTATAATACATAGAATATTTTATTCATGTAAAATGTTACTTATATATTACTAGCATTAAGTCAGTGTCAATTGAAGTTTTTCTTGTAGATGTTATTTTCCCATTGTCTAACTGATGGTTCTTAGATGATTTGATTAGAGAAACTAATAATGGGTCAAAAATAATAACTGTATCAAATACTTTGACCACTTCTGTGTGGAATTCTGCCTTAAAATTGGTAGTAATAGTTGTGCACTTTCTGTTAGATAATTTAAGTCACCTGTATAAACAATCAGTTCATTCTTCAATCGTTTAATGAGAATGAGAGAGAGAGAGAGAGAGAGAGAGAGAGTAAATAAAGATATTAAACTGCAGGACTGTTTATATTTTCTGTGTTGTCTT